GCTCCAAAGGTAACAACATACTGAGTTTATCTTTAAATTGAATTAGTATAGTGTCTCTATTATGACATGAATTGAAAAATTACAGCCACAGGCCAATAGGTTCCTACTACATGCTTTTAAGAATCACACAATTAAAAAACTTTTTTACTATTTTCAGTATCTAAAAAAAATCGAAAGACTATTTCATGATGTGAAAATTACATGGAATTCAAGCATCACTTTTTGTAAAGTTTTATAAGAACACAATCACATTTGTCCATTTATATTTTGCTTCTGACTGCTGTTGCACTAAACCCCTAATCCACGCAGTTGCAGAGACTAGATGGCCTGCAAAGGCCAAAATATTTACTCTCTGTTCCTTTACAGAAAAGGATGCTGCACTCCAGGTACAGAGCTCAAGTTGTAGAACCAGTCACTGTTTTCCTCCAGGCTCTACCACTAACAAACTGATATCTTGGACAGGTTACTTAAACTATCTTCAACTGTTTCCATACCTACCTTATAGAGTTGCTGTGTGGATTAAGAGCGTGAGAAAATGTAAAGTACACACATAGCAGCATGTAGGCCCCACTTAAGAGTTAGCCATTTCTGATATTATTACTGCTATTTACTGTTACCATAATTATACTAATGCATCCTACCAGGCAGAGCACTCTACATGCTTGAACTTTTCTGAAAATCATTGTTGGCACTAACTTATAGTTTTGCCTACTCTAAAAATTATCTTTTCATTAATTGGTCTTAATATTTTTGAAAACTGTCCTGGTCTCCTTCCCAAAAGAAGACAATCATCAATCACTGTGGCACTGTAATGTCCATTAATTAGAAGTTTAGCTAAAAGAACAGGATTTTTAATTTTAATATCTTGTTCTATTCTTATATTTGAAAACCATTTTCAAAAGTGCATCCCAGTTAGAGACCTTGGCAAGTGAGATGATATATTTCAGATTCTGCTCCCTTTTTGACAGATAATTAAAGTAGGACTCACAAGGTCAAGTGACTTTCTCCAAGAACAGGCAACCCTTAATTAAAGTGAACAATCATTGACTTATATTGAGACCTCTGCTTTGCACTAGCCCACCTGCAGATTTTTCAAATGAAAGCTTTGAACTTACTTGTCTGACCTAAAAATCAAAAGAGTTTCTAATTGTACAAGTAGACAAATTACCCTGACAATTTCTCTTGGTCATGATGCTCTTATTTCATTTAGAAATGCCACAAATACATTCAGTTAATGCATTAAATATAAAAAGACTTGCTGAAGAGACTCAATTTATTAATGATTCAGTAGAACTTCCTAAAGCATCTGTTTGGAATTCATTTATAATTCATTTTGCAGCTTAGCTGTAGTTCCCATTGGGCAAATATTTATCAATTATTACTCTGTTTTAAGTCTCCCCTTTACATTTATTTGTAGAATATTTTTTCCCAAATGAAGACTAAACTTCCTAAAAGCATCCATCCATCGGCTGTAATTTATTGTGCATTTCCTGATAAGGTGAAAGAAATGGACTTTCAAATGTAATGGTGTACACTATACAACCAAACAAAAGAATAATTATTAAACATCATTGTAGCTATGAAATGAACAATAATCACATTGAATATATTGTAAATATTTATTAGTAGTAGCCAAGGTAATTAATAAATAAAGTAATCAACATGGGAAAAACAGGATGTTAAAAACGCACTATGGCATCAAAAACTTCATGACTTATCTACCTGAACTCTACATGACTAAATTAACATTTTCAATATGAAGATAAGACTATCTAGTTTGACTCATACCAATGGACATATTAGAACCAGACTGTAGAATGTCCTTATAATATCAGACTGCCAACATCAAATCCCCCAAACACTGAAAATTCATAGTCTTTAATTCTAATGGCTAATCACAACTACAGGGTAATTGCTAAAATGAGAAAGCACTGGCCTTGAGGTTAGAAACACATAAATTAAAACCCTGCTCCTCAACTAGCTGTGAAACCTTGGTCAAATTAATTAAATTCTCCATGCCAACTATTAAAAAAAAAACAACAACCTGTAAAAAGTTGTTGCAACTAGACTTATTGTAGTGTTGTTTCCACGGTATGGACCAATATTATTCTATATAGCTGAAGCTATTAATTTCATATAGTGCAATAAAAATAGATAAGTTTATGAAGCTAAAAATGAGATACATAATTTATTTAGTGTCTGCAACAAAGTCTGCATTGAGTAATAATGTCTCTTAGACTACTAGTACTACTTTTGTGACTTCTGAAAGCACTCGTAATGCTTTTGCACCTCCAGACCTACTACTGTTACTACTTCTTATTACTGTAACCACAAAATAACAGTTACTGCATTCCACTCCCACTGACTAGTGGTCACATGTAAACTATGGTAATTCAGATTCTTTAGATCTAAACACAAAAGTCCGTGAGGAGAGCTAATTTTTTAAAAAAAATAAATCAATGATAACAAATGGTGAAGATGTGGACAAATGTGAATCTTCAAATACTACTGGTAGGAATGCAAAACAGTACAACCATTTGGAAAACATTTTGATAGTTCCTCAAAATGTTAAACAAAGTTACTAATCAATCAATTCTACTCCTAGATAAATTCCCAAATGAAAATATATGCTCACATAAGAACATACAAGAATGTTCGTAACATTATTTAAAATAGCTAAAAAGTGGAAATAAGCCAAATGTCCATCAACTGCAAATTGGATAAACAAAATGTGGTTTAAAAGTACTGTTCAGAAATAAAAAGGAATGAAGTACTGAAACATGATAAACACAGACGAACCTTGAAATTTGTAAGAAATCACGATATACAAAGCAAGGTATTATAAGAATCCAATTATATAAAATGTTGAGACTAGACAAATCTATAGAAATACAAAGTAGGGATTGTCAGAGGCTAAGGGAGGAGGTGTAGAATAGAGTGATAACTAATGGGTATGATTTATCTTTTGGGGAGGAATAAAAATGTTCTAAACAGTGGTCCTGATTGCGCAATTTGAATATTCCACAAGCCCTAAAAATTGGCGTTCATGCCAAGATAGGTACATGCTAACAGTCTGAATGGTATGTGAGCAATTCCACATGTTCTAAAGCTTCACAGGATAATGACTGTCACTTGCACCGACACATCTTACTTTAGCCCTAAAATCCTTAAAGCGACTTCTATTACGTTCACACCCACAGAAATAACACTTTTGGCACCAATTATGCCAAAGGTTCCAGATACATTTCAACTCTTTCCTCTAATAAAAAACAAAGCGATTGTAATAAAAGAATTAAGAGAAGGTACATGAAAATGAAACATATCTTTGGAAGAATCAACTAAATTTTTAGATATTTTTAAAAACCAGCACTAAGTAAGAAATATACTAAATTCACTTTAGAAGCTTAAGTTTTTCAAATGATATTTTAAGGTAATATGCTAGTGCTAATCTATTACAATTACATAAAAAGCTGGAAAATACATTCAATGGGGTACACTATGTGTATCTTACAAATCAGGATAGTCTCTCACTGAAAATTCTAAATAAGATTTAGTGAACAATTAAGATTGAAATTTTCCCATAAAAACAATGATTTTATAATAAAAGTTAAACAAGAATTCAGAGAAAATACTAATGCCCATTTGTAATGACAAAATATTGAATTTATAAAGTAATTAAAATATCCAAAAGTCATCTCCACAACAATTACCCTAAGAGTAAATAATGAAAAATCTCAAATACATAAAAATCTAAACATTATGCTTAAAATTAAAGTTAACACATTAGTAACAAGTTTTGTAGAAGAAAAAACCCAACACTGATCAGTATTTAGCCTGGTTATTGCTTTCATTTGTCAGAAGAATAAAGGACCCTGTCAATATCAGCTATTGATAATCTATGGCCAAATCAAATACTTAACTCTAAATTTTATTCAATATACATCCTGATTATTCTCTATGAAATGCATTAGAAATTATTTTCAAATTAGGAAAATGGTAAATAAGATTTCCTTTAAATACATCAAACTGAATGTCAAACTTAAATGTACCTCTCTTGGGTGGGCCTCCCTGGTGGCACAGGGTTCAAGTCTCAGCTATCAAGCTATTGCCAGCACAGCAAAATGACTTTAATTCCCAGCCAGGAAGATAACTCACATGGCACAGCGGATCTCTCCTGTCTCACCTGCTGCTCCCATCAGCAGTATATTTCAGTAGATCTACCTGTCCTGCTCCCCACTCCGTCTCTGGTGAATCCTCTCACCCCCCCCCACCTCTGGCCTATACCCCAGTTCTTGTCTGAATAGATAAATAAAAATAAAATCTTTAAATGCATCTTCCTTGGTAGTGCCTACTAAATATTGTTAACTTCAATGTTTACTTTATGAAATAAACTCTACTTGGGTGGAAAATAATTTGTGAACTATCACATGCTATCAATTCATTGAATTTTACTACTTCTTTCAGCTGTGTATAATTAATAAAAAGATTTCACATTGGGCAAATTTTATCTTGAAGATGTGTATTATTTTTAAAAAGCAGATGTTACAAGGACAATATAGAAATCTGAAAATCAAATCTTCCTTTCAAAATCTTACCTATTTTAGCTAAAGTTACTAAGTGATTTTATTTATTTTTGATCTGAAAAAAGATTAGTGGAAAACAAAGACTTAATTGTTCTTGGTTAGGTGTTTAGTGACGACAATTTCAAGAAAATTCTAATACCAACAAAAAAGTCTAAAAAAAAAAAAAGCAAAAAAAAAATTAAAGTCTAAATAGTAAATCCAAACAAATGCATCAGAAACCCTCTCAATCATGTTTAATCTATAGCTAGCCCTTTTCACAGACACATAAGTTGGAAATCTCTCTACCCAAAGATGGTGATTAGAAATGAAATCAGTCAAAGTTTACTTCTTCTGTGGCAAGAAATCAGTTTCTCAGGAAACATGTGGGGAGGGGGAGGGCGATGCCAATATAATAATGTAATAATCTAAAACATGTACCTTTATTCTTTGGTCATCAACATCTATAATCGTAGCAACACGAATTAACCGGGGGTTTCGTTTATCCACAACTTCAAGTTTCATATTCGGCAGAAAACCATGAGGCAACCGCTGTAACATTACAAGTACAACAGTCATACAAAATTGAACAAGTCACCAATTTGTTCTAAAATATTATGTTCTGTAGTTCAACAAGACAGAAGCAGATTGGAGATGCCTGGTTTGCCTCCTCCACTTATTTACAACAAAATTATTTAAAGACAATGACCCTTGAATTATGAGCAGGTGAACACTGCATGATCAATCAAATGTGAAGCACAGCAGAAAGGGATAGAAAAAACTAGTCAGTCTTTAGCAATACCAGGGCAGTACAGCATATGAGGAGGGCTACTATAGAGAGCCTCTCTGTTGTTAACTCAAAAGCATAGGCCACATCAGGGACCATAAAACCCATGGACTTTACTGGAGAAGGGGGTACACAGAAATGTTGTGCCAAAAGAGGGTGCACAACTGGATAACCCTAGGGATAAGGGTGCAGCTCAATACTGTGGAGCCCAAGTGAGAACAGTAGGAGTCCAAAGAAATGCAAAGAGTTAGATCAAATCCTTTGTGTCTTCTTATAGAAGAGGCTACTTATTATTTGCAGCCTGAGGCAGTGATATGTGAAAACACCCTCTTTGACCCTCCTCTCCCCACCCAGCCAAAACTGAGACAACAACCAACTACTATGATTAACCAGATTTTGAGCTATACTTTAAAGGCAAAGAGAACAACTCCTGACTTATAACTCCATCTTAACTCTCATTCCTATCCAGGGCTGCATCGATTTTTCAACTACAACTCAGAGGTTGGGAATAGCTCAAGGTTGGAGACATTTTGGCTGAGGAGCTGACCAAGGGAAGGGGGGTCATTGTGGATGCCTACTACGTAACTCGGGCACCCTCTGCACTGTAGGAAGCCTGACCATCTGTGCTCACTGAAGATGGCCATTCTACTGCCCTAGTTCCTAATTGCTACTGCTTACCAGCACCGGTGGTCTAATCATATGAACAGGTGCAGAAGCATCAATCCATGAAATAACAAACACTTAGAGGGCCTCCCCGGTGGCGCAGCGGTTGAGCACTGGGTTGCGAAGCCGCCCGCGGCCTCTGCGGCGCCAGTTCGATCCCCGGCTACTCCCTGGCCACCAGAGGAGGGTCCCACATGGTGCGCAGACCTCTCCTGCCGCCCGCTGCTCCCCTCAGCAGTGTACTTTGGTCCCTCTGCCTGCTCTGCTCCCGGCTCTGGCTCTGGTGAATTCTCTCACCCTCCCGTGCTTCTGACTGTACCCAGTGCTTGTATAAACAAAAGCAAACAAACAAATAAATAAATAAATAAAACATGCCTCTAAAAAAAAACAGACACTTAGAGAACCTGGGTTTAAAACCTAGGGTTATTACCCACCTACTTGTAGACAGAGTATAAAGACAATTTATCAGATAAGGAATGTCCCTAAGAAAAATTAAAATTGAAGATACAGAAGAGCATGTCACGGATGTGGAAGCAAAAAAAAAAACCTGTGAGAAATCTCAACCCATTAGAAATTGTGGAATCTGTTTGATGAGTTTACAATCATGCTTTTTGAATTAAGAAAGACATGGATAATCTAAAGCAGCATCACTATAAAAATGAGACTGCTATAAATAAAATTAATGGGTTTTAAAATACTATTATGTAAGTAAAAAATGATAGCGAACCTCAACAGACACAAACACAAGTCATGAAAAACATCAGTAAACATGAATGCACAATTACAGAGAGCATACAAAGAGAAGAACAGGGAGAAAAAGGAATTAATAAATAAAATGAAAACCACATAAGAGCTCTTTGGGATAACCTAAAGAGAACTCACATCCATTTCATGAGGGTCTCAGAGGAAGACAAGAAATAGAATACCTATTAAAAAAAAAAAATAGTAACTGCTGAGAACCACATCAACCCAGGAAACAAACCAGACATCCTAATCCAAGAGACCAAAAAGTCTCAAGCAACAAACCAGACTGTCACTCCAATGCATATTATAATAAAAGATCGAAAGCCAATGACAAGGAAAGAAAACTAAAAGCATCAAGAGAAATAAGAGTAACCCATAAAGGGATACATTTTAGATTGTCCATAAACTTCTTACAGGAAACCTCACCAACAAATAGGGAAGGAGAGGAGATATTTAAAGTACACAAAGAAAAGTATTTTGAGCCTAAAATACTTTATCCAGACTGTCATTCAAGAAACAGTAAGGCTACGGGAGCTTCACTGAAAAATAAAAATTAAAAGAATATATCAACAAGAAGTCAAGACTTTTTAGTACTAACAGGGCTATTACAAAGCAACAACAAAATAAATCTAGAGGTAGCATACACCTAAATTATAATAAAATGTGGCCCTCAGACTGAGTTTAAGATCAAACTATCTAATAGGTTACAAAATACAGTTCATTATACACAAACCTCAGGATAACCTAAAACAAGACTCCATAGAAGCAACACGAAAGACTAAAGAAATGAAACATAAACAAAATATAAGAGGTAGACATAAAAATACAAAGTTAAAAAAAAAAAAAACCTAGTAACAAAATGGCAAAAGGCCTTGTGTCTCAACAGAATATTGTTGAAGAGCACATAGACCTTCATGCACATTAGTTTATATAGTTACAGAAAAAGAATCTTTAGTTCATTTTCCAGATAGCTAAATCAACAAAGATTGCATCACAATTTCATTAATAGGGCCTCCCTGATGGCACAGCAGTTGAGCGTTGGGTTGTAAAGCCGCCCGCAGCCTCTGCAGCACCAGTTAGAGCCCCTGCTGCCAGGCGAGGGTCCCACATGTCGCGCAGACCTCTCCTGCTGCCCGCTGCTCCCCTCAGCAGTGTACTTCGTCACTCTGCCTGCTCTGCTCTTCCCTCTGGCTCTGGTGAATTCTCTCACCCTCCCGCGCTTCTGACTGTACCCAGTGCTAGATAAATAAATCTTTACAAAAAAAAAAAAAAAAAACCCTCTTAAAAAATATCTTTAAAAAATTTCATTAATAATCATAAGGTTCATAAAAGGTTCTTATTATATTTAATATATTGGTTTGATTTTTTTTTATTTTCCTAAAATTAACCTTATAAACTAGAAATGTTAACTACTGTCCTTGCCAACTTTCTTAGTGTATGACTCAGAAGGCAAAATTATTATTATTTTTTAAAGATTTTATTTATTTATTTTTACAAGCACTGGGTACAGTCAGAAGCGCGGGAGGGTGAGAGAATTCACCAGAGCCAGAGCGGGGAGCAGAGCAGGCAGAAGGACCGAAGTACACTGCTGAGGGGAGCAGCGGGCGGCAGGAGAGGTCTGCACGCCATGTGGGACCCTCCTCTGGTGGCCGGGGAGCAGCCGGGGATCGAACTGGCGCTGCAGAGGCCGCGGGCAGCTTCGCAACCCAGCGCTTAACCGCTGCGCCACCGGGGAGGCCCAGAAAGCAAAATTATTTAATAAGCAATTAGAAAGGATAAAGATGATTCCTTATAAATCTAATTTTTACAGCATGCTTGGATAAAAGCCACAGAAGCCACTTTTTACCATTTTGTTACCAGGTTTTGTTTTTTTTTTAAACTTTGTATTTTTCTATCTACCTCTTATATTATATGTTCCATTTCTTTAGTTTTTTGTGTTGCTTTTATTACATCATTTTAAATTCATATCATAATGTCATTTACACCCATGACTGTGCTTCAGGTTACTTCCTCTGTAACAGAAGCATGTTAAACTGTATTAATTTGGTATTTCTTCCAAGTTTTAAAATGCTAGGAATCAAGAGTTTATAATGATGAACACTTAGGAAATATTAAAGAAAATGGAAAGGGGAACAAATACACTGAGATTTAACAAATAATTGAAAGTAAGAACACTTAATTATCAAAAATCAAAGTCAAAAGGCAACTGTTTAGTTGTCTGACACGTGTTTACACGTTAGCACAAAGTTTCACTTTGAAAGCGATCACACATAAAAGTGTTCAACTGACTTTATTGAAAATGGAAGTGTACTGAATTCCTCATGTCTAAAAATGGTAACAGGGAAATGAAATACTCCTAACACATGACTAATAAACTATCAAATTTTTCTCCAATATATGGTTTTGTGGAAGCATATCTTCTTTCTAAACTGCATTATTATCTCTACTGAATTAGAGTACGCTGAGTATAATTAGGTCTCTGTTCCCTGAAAATTTTTGTTTTGTCCTGACAACAAAGGTCACTGTTTCAAATTGCAGATGTCACAGAGCTACAGCTTGAGGTGAATCTGTAACAGCTCCATCACAGAGCTTGATGTTGCCCTTTCAACTCTTTTCATAATTTAATTTTCTTGCAATTTCCTTCTTGGAAAAGTGAAATTTTGACAGAAAGCAAAAGAAGGCGACTATAAGCAGCTGATATGTTCTGCTTATTGGATTTTTGAATTCTTAAAACCCTTTCTACCACTTCTAGCCTTCTTAATTTGATTATATTGCTTCCCTCCAATTCAGCCTATTATAATCAAATTTTTAATGAAAAAGAATTTTACATCAAGTCCCATTTTGATCCTTAGAAATTTTTCAGTAAATGAATTATATGTAGTAGCACATGCTATAAACTTCTGACTGCAGACTCATCAGGGAGCCTGAAATACACATTTAGGATTAAAAGGGAATAGTGTTTAAAAAACACCAGTGTAGGACATGAAAACATTAATTCAAAAGAATACCTATACCCCTACGTTTACTACAGCACTATTTATAATAGGTTAGACTTGGAAACAACCCAAATGCTCAAAAATAGATGACTGGATCAAGAAGATATGTAAAATATACTCAATGGAATACTATCCAGCAATCAAAAAAGATAAACTAATGCCATTTGCAGCAGCATGGATGGAGCGGGAAGGGGTTATGCTCACTGAAATAAATCAGAAGGAAAAAGAAAAAAAATCAGATGGTTTCACTTATAGGAGGAATATAGGGGGAACAAACAAGGGATTGGGGAAAAATAATAATAATTAAAAACACAACACAACAAAACAAAATAAACAGCCATCTATAAATCAGAGATATTATGCAGCAGAGAGGGAGGGAAAGGGATCAAAACAAGGGTGGCAAGAGTACACGGGACTATGGTGATAGTGCACGGGCAAGCTGGTGGTGGAAATTTTATGGGGAACTACACCTGAGAAAAGAAAGCAAACATTGTAAAAAAATAACCAATGATGTAAGATATATATAAGGAAATAATTTAAAAAATAGTGTAGAATATAAATGTCGCTTATATAATGTACTTCATTTTACAAAATAATTTATGCTTGATTCAACCCTTGAATTAATATAACAAAGTTTAACTTTAAAAATCAAGTACTAAAAGCAAGTATTTCTCTCAGAATAGATAAGACACATAGTATACTTGCAATTCACCTATTTTATTTTATTATGGGATCATTGCCTTTCAAACAGTTCATGAAATTGTGAAAGTGCAGAGATCCCACTCAATGAATTAATAATAGAAGTAAACATGAAGGACTCAATTGGCAGCACCTCTCATCTGGGGCATCTGTATTTTTCCAGGAGGGAAATGCCATCTATATTTGTGTATAGGAATAACGGTTTATGAGTCAGTTCCTTCATAATTTTAACTTACAGCAAGGCAAATTGCTTATGAAAATAATGCCTGAATTTTAAAATTCAAAAGTAGAATCATTTTAAACTGCCAAATGAGGGCACAACTCAACACAGATACTGTTTAAAGTTGAAAATGTATATGATACAAACTTACAGTTTTAAAAACTTTGGCAGGAACTGCATTAGTTTGAGTAGCTTCCAGATAGTCTGTCCAGGAGAAATTTTCTGGATCAGGATAACCTGAAAGAAAATATAAATAAATATAAATATCAAAGGATTACTCACTGATACTCTCATTTCCATGTGCTTTAAGACATTTGATAACAAGACCTGTTGTTAGTTGAATGGTCACTATTTAATAGCCCCTATGCTAAGAATTCACATATATCATCTATATTAAGTCTCTGAACATCCTGAACATTCTTAAAACCCTTTCTACCAAAAGTATATGCTTTTAATGGAATGCATCCAGGAGTAAAAGTGCTACATCATGAGAAAGTTTGGTTTATATGTTGATGTTATATTACTTGTCATATAAAAGCAATTATAATGTTCATTATTAATTGCAATTTATTTAGTAAAGAACTTTTTTTCCCTTTTGGACACACTATATCTTACCTCAATTCTTCTTATCAAAATTTTGAATTTTATGTCATCCTTTTATATTGCTTATATTTGCTAACAAAATTTTGTCCATCTTTTTTACTTTTATATGATTATGTTTCAGGTGTATCTATATTAAACGTATAAATGGATTTTAAAAAGTATTTATTTTTACTTGTATCACAGGCCTATCTTATCTGAATTCTATAAAAATACTTTAAGCTGAAATGTTTTTTTTTTTGAAAGGTTAGATTAGAAGAAAAGTAGAAAATATGATTGCACAGACCCAAGAAGGCAGAAAGAGATGCTAAGCTGAAATGTTTTAAAATTTCCCTTATTTCGTGTCCTTTTCTAGGAGTTATTTCTTAAGTTTCAACAGTTACACATCTTAAGTTTCTGTACTTGCTATTATGATATAGCTCATATATCTAAAAATTGCCCAAACTCACTCCTTGTATTTTAGATTGCAACATTGCAGCGTGAGTTCTGAACATGTTCAGACCTTGCCCCTTCAGTGTTGGCATCTCCTATTTCCTGTGTCATTTTCTCACCCAGGGTCCTGACCATCAGATTCAGTGGAACAGTGAGACAAGAAGGCTGGTAGGTTGAGTAGTGAATGTATAGGGAAGAGGGAAGCAGCAATTAGTCTTTACAGCTCCTTAAAGAAATCTGACATATTGCTGTAGAGGAAATATCTTAGCAACAAATGTCTCTGTGTCATTCTCCAAACACGAGCTGCTTATGTGAAAAAGAGAAAACATACATGACCTGTATATTCCCTCTTCGAGGAACCCAACGAAGAGAATATCTTATAGCTTAAGGCGGTTTGCAAAAGCCACCTACTGTCACTGACTTCCTTGGAGCCCAGCCCTGAGTCTTGTGATACTTGGAGAACCAGAAATAGGTTTTCAGGTTAAAGGGCAGGGAACAAATCCATTCACATAGCTGTGAGGCAAGACCTTGAAGGAAGGTTTTCAAAAGTTTTAATTCCTACTTCAAAAATGAAAGAAATATATAAGCCACCCTCTTCACTTGTCTTTAACCTCCCCTTGTCTCAAAGAAAAGCAACCTCTAACTGCCTTTCATTTATTTGTAAACTTTATATTAAGTACTCCATTTACATTAATTCATTTGTTATCCATGTATTCCTGTGAGGTACACTTTTTATTCTCACTTATAGGTGAGGCTCAGGATGTTTGAGCAGCTTGTCCAGTGTGTTACAGTTAGGAAGTGAAAGAAAAGGGATTTGAACAATTGCCTGACTCTTATTACCAACATAACTTCACCACAGCCTCCCCCTAGTATCATAACTCCAAGCATCCTCCACACAAGGGGGCACATCCTTCCAGGTCTCAGGACTAAGAGTTCCAGCTCTGCCTGGAGAACAAATCTTGGTACTGCAAGAGTGAGAGAGCAGGAATGAATCAGTTATGTATGCCCTGCCTAACCTCGCCTGCTTGTTTTTCTCCACAACATTTATTACTGCCTAACAACATACTACATGTTTTACATATTTAAAACACTGCTATTTCCTCCAATCCTACAAAAGTTCCTAGCATTAAGCTGACATGCACTAAATATTTTGTAATTATTTGTCGAATGAATGAATATTTCCTGAGATGTTTGCATTTAACATTGTGGTGCTCAAGAATGAGAGAGATCGGAGTTAAAATAATAATGGACTATGCCTGTTGGCCATTTGCATTTCTTCTTCAGAGAAGTTTCTTTTTAGCTCTTCTGCCCATTTTTTGACTGGATTATTTTCTTTGTTTTTGTTGAGTTTCATCAGCTCTTTGTAGATTTTTGTGATCAGTCCTTTATCGTTAGTGTTGGGTACAAAAATGTTCTCCCAGTTGGTGGGGTTTCTCTTTGTTTTGGTTATTGTCTCTTTTGCTGTGCAGAAGCTCTTTAATTTGATGTAGTCCCAGCTGTCTATCTTTGCCTTCACTATCACTGCTTTGGGTGATGTGTCTGTAAAGATGTCTTTGATGTGCATGTCATGTAGTGTTTCACCTATATTTTCTTCTATGTATTTCATGGTTTCAGGTCTTATGTCTAGTTCTTTAATCCATTTTGAGTTGGTTTTTGTGCATGGTGTGAGGTAGTGGTCAAGCTTCATTCTTTTGCATGTAGCGACCCAGTTTTCCCAGCACCATTTATTGAACAAACTTTCTTTGCTCCAGTGCATATTCTTTGCTCAGGGAAATGCAAATCAAAACTACCATGAGATACCATCTTACACCAGTGAGAATGGTACATATTAAAAAAAACTAGCAACAACAAATTTTGGCGAGGTTGTGGAGAAAAAGGAACTCTCCTGCACTGTTGGTGGGAGTGCAAACTGGTCCAACCACTATGGAGAGCGTTTGGAGAATTCTTGACCTACTATATGATCCAGCAATTCCACTCCTAGGTATTTATCCAAATGACACAGAAACAGTAATTCCAAAGGGCACCTGCACGCCTATGTTTATAGCAGCACTATTTACAATAGCTCAGCTTTGGAAACAACCCAAATGCCCAAAAATAGATGACTGGATCAAGAAGATGTGGTACATATACATAATGGAATATTACTCAGCAATCAAAAAAGATAAACACATGTGGTTTGCAGCAACATGGATGGAACTAGAAGGGATCATGCTCAGCAAAATAAGTCAGAAGAAAAAGAAAAATACCAGATGGTCTCACTCATAGCAGGAATTTACAAAACCTAAATAAGAGACCAGGAAAAAGACTAACACTACCGGGGGACTGGGGGTAAGGAAGGAGGGGTGGGGAAAGGAAGGACTAGAGTCAAAATTAGGGGGGTGAAATTGTATGGGGAATATAACCAAAATGAAAATGTATACATTGGGCAAAGATGAAAAAAGATGTAATAATTATATTAAATAAATAAATAAATAATGAATGAATGAATGATAATGGACTAGCCTCAAAATACTGAAAAGAAATCTGACATTAAATTGTTTGCTTGTTAATGCTGGTGTTATTAGAGACACCATTAGAATAAGGTGATGCTCATTTATCTAAGATTCTAAACAATACTGCAGACTGGATAATACCAAGAGAAGGTCATCTGATTTGTGGCACTTGAACAAGCAAATTGTTCCACACATAAGTGTGACATTGATTATAGACTATTCTTTTACAGCAATCTCAGTATTTCCTCCAGGAGTATCAGACTAAAGCAGAAACTTAAGTTCCCCACTGAACATTCTTTCTGAAGAATTGGGATCATGAATAAATAGCACAAGTCCTTCACTTCCTGCCATCCTGGTCTAGGTGACCTATACCATGGCACCTACAGAAGCTTAACACTTATAATTATGCCAGTGGCCAGTCCAGGAACCAAAAAATCATCAGAGTCAAAGCAAATAAAAAGAAATTATTGAAGTTAATATTACATTGTAACATTGTATATTTCAGGTGTGCAGCATATTAACATCTGTATGTAGTATATTAAATTCACCATTAAAAGTCCATTTCTATACTTTACCATACAACTGACCTCATTTGATTAATTTATTTATTTTTAAAGATTTATTTATTTATTTATTTATTTTATTTATTTATTTATTTATTTATAAGCACTGGATACAATCAGAAATGCGGGAGGATGAGAGAATTCACCAGAGCCAGAGCAGGGAACAGAACAAGCAGAGTGACGAAATACACTGCTGAGGGGAGCAGCGGGTGGGGCAGGAGATGTCTGTGGCACCATGTGGGGTCCACGCCGGTGGCCAGGGATCAAACCAGCGCTGCAGAGGCTGCGCCACCAGGGGAGGCCCAGCCTCATTTATTTTTAAAGATTTCATTTATTTATGCATGTAAGAACTGGAGTTCTAGGCCAGAAGTGTGGGAGGTGAGAGGATTCACTAGAGACACAGTAGGAAGCAGAGCAGGCAGATCTACTGAAATATACCACTGAGGGGATTAGCAGGCGAGACAGGAGAGTCTGCTGTGCCATGTGGCTTAACTTCCTTGCTGGGGATAGAACTCATACTGCAGTGGCTAGCTATATATTGATAGCTGTGAGACTTAATCCCTGTACCACCAGACAGGCCCACAACTGACCTCTTTTACCCTCCTTCTTTCTCCCTTTCCTTCTGGTGAACCACGAATTAGGTCTTAAAATGTCTAATGGTTTATTTTTGTTTTATTTAGTTCATTCGTTTGTTTTCTTTATGTACCACATAAGTGAAACCATACAGTATTTTGTCTTTCCTCGTCTGTATTTCACTAAGCCTAATACTTTCAAGGTCCATCCATATTGTTTCAATTGCCAGAATTCTTTTTTCAGCTGAGTATTATTCCATTGTGTGTATCAACCACATTTCCTTTACACAATCATTTGTCCATGGGAACTCAGGTTGTTTCCATCCTTGGATATTTTGAGTAATGCTGTGATGAACATAGGAAGTACATAAAACTCTTAAAATTAGTATTTTTGTATTTTTTTTGTAAATGTCCAGCACTGAGGCAACTGGATTATATACAATTTCTATTTTTAATTTTTTGAGGACTCTCCATATTGCTTTCCACATGGCTGCACCAATTATACCCACTAACATTGTACAAGAGTTCTCTTATCCCACATCCTCTCTAACATTTGTTACTGGACAAGCAATTTTTAA